CCTTGTAGGACACTCAGTGAACATCATGATGCAAGCCACCATTTTGAAGATGACAAAAGCATCCCCTAAATTGTGGCTTGCTGTGGCTGATGGTTCTGCCACTCTAAGTTTGTCAAATACGTAATCATAGATTTGAACCCAACCTTGTCCTTAACTAAGGGAAGCACCTCAGTACACATCCCGCTTGAAACTTCACACTTGTCTCGATCAGTCTGTCGCCTAGTAATAGGTTTGACCGTTTGAGGGAATATACCAAAACCAGGACTTTTTGGTCCCTGGTCGTAATTGCGGCCAGATGCATTCAAAAGCAGCTGCAACTGCTGAGAGATTCATCCAGCAAAGTCCTTGTGTGAGAGTATGCTCTGAGGTAAGATTAGTCCTCCACCACCTACATCACTGACAAGGTCAATCTCTAGAATATAGCATCAGGAGCTACTTCCAACAACTCCAGATCCCTTACAGGAGCTCACAAGTTCCTCCAGTCTCTAGTGCTTGCGCAACTTAAACGGTCAGTACACAGCCCCAGCCTTGCAAGATTTCTTCATGGCCAGCTCCTCAAATTTATGAGGCTTGGGTCTACCGGGCCACAATGGCTGGTGGCACCAGCCAAAAAAGCTGCCCGCTTGGCAAAGCTTGGCATGCAGTGCAATGATGCCACCAGCCCGGGTGCTCTGGTGGTTTAACCCTGAGCTCTACTTTCCTACAGCACCTCTTGTGCTGGATCAACTGCAGGTGTCTCAGGGCAGTACATTTTCGACTGAGCTCTGGACGTAATTGCGGTCATATGCACACATCTCTTGTTGTGATTGCGGGCAGATACATCCAGGAAAGGGGTAGTGTGAGTATGCCCTCAGCTCCCTTATACCCGGACCCTTTTCCAGCTGGCTAGATAGCCTAAGGCCTATCAGGCCACTCATGATGGGAGGGGAACAAGGGGGGTGGATTGCAGAAGTGAGATGGAAAGAGGGAGAGGGAGGGGACCAGGGGACGATTGAAAGGGATTACTTCCTTCGATTCGACCCCTCCATCCCTCTGTGGCCCATCTCAGAGTTCCCTGATTCCTTCCCACCACCTGCCCACTCGATAGTTGAGCTGCAATGGTATGGAAGCAGGTCGCGCGGAGGAAATCCTCGCTAGGAAAAACATCTATCAGGTGGCCCGGATCGGGGCTGAAGAGGCAGTACCTTTTGCCCAGTTGTCTCACTCTTTCAGTCGTTCAGCAAGGTCGTATGATTCCTTTCATCTTCAAAATGTCATGAGCGGCCTGAAACTTTAAGGCCTTAGGCTGTCTAGCCAGCTAGGAAAAGTAGCGTGTGACGAACCACTTCCCGACCCCGTGCTATCTTTCGTACCCTTTCTTTTGCATTCCAACCCCAGGAAAACCCCGTCTTTATTTCTTGCTTTCGGGTGCCGCATTTTCCTTTTTTTTTAGAGCTTTTTCGACTTTTGGCTTCCGTTTTTCTTTTTGCAAACTCGGGAAATACATGGGAATTCACGCACACCTCAGCGGGCGCACTGGGAATTGGGCTCGGTAGTTGGGAATTCCGGGATAAGCGGAACTTTGACGTGTCCTTTTCGGGTATATTCTTGGGCACGTCGGGGAAAACTCTCGGAATTTTGCGTGAATACGAATAGGCGTAGGATTTTCTTTTCCCGCGTCGCTTTTTCGCGGGCGGATATGGTGATTTCAATTTTGAATTAGGATAGAAGCAAGTTGTAACTGTTTCGGTGTCTTTTTTTTTTTTTTTTTTTTGACGGCGCCGTGCATGCAAAAGCTTCCTCCTCTCTGTCCCCCGCATCGCTCCCTCTCGCGCTTCCCTTCCCTTTTCCCTCATTTTTCTCTCTCCCCGTAACTGTTTTTCCTTCTCCCTCTCTCTCTCTCCCGCCTTACATTCGCGCGCCCATTTCCCTTTCTTGATCATCTGAATCTTGAACCCGTCTTGCACCACCTCTCGCGCATTTTCTCTTCTCACCCTCTAAGTCTGGCGTATGATGCTCAGTCGATCCCCCGATAACTCCCGCTCGCCAATCAGGTGCGGACCGATAGGACCTTCCTATCGCGCGACAAATCTGATTGGTTGAACCTTGAGTTCTGAGGGATCAGCATGGCGTTCGTAGAGCACTCTTCTCAAAGTCTTCTCCTCCTGCTTCTCCTCTTATACCTCAACTTTCCTGTCACCTTCTCCTCCTTTTATCTACCCTGTCGCAACTATAAAACCCGAAAGCGCGTCCGTAAATCTCTCTTACGTTCTCGACTCTCAAGCCAACTTCCGGGAAGCAGTGGCTAGGCAGAGTGTTTGAAGCGAGCCGGAAAGTCCTGTCGGGCTAACGATAGACTGGCCGGTTGCGCGCTGGATCGCCACGACGGACTGTGGGAGCTGGGCGAACCGTGTCGAGTTTACGACAGCTGGGTGACGATCGCAGTGGTAAGAGTTAGCACGCGACGGCCGGGATCGTCGGTGCGGGTATGAGGATCGATGTTGAGTTGATTGGTCCGGGGCCATATTGGAATTAACGGCGAATGCGCAGTTGTTGCGGATTGTTATCTTTGGCGTGAGTGTACAGCGGTGACGCCGAACTTTTCTCTTCCTGGATCTTGTCATCTTCTATTTTGGACTTTCTTTCCCTCA